TTATGGTGAGTACAGGAATATTAACCTGTTATCCATCGACTACGCCTTTCGGCCTCGCCTTAGGTCCCGACTAACCCAGGGTAGACGACCTTCACCCTGGAAACCTTGGTCATTCGGCCAGAAGGATTCTCACCTTCTATCGTTACTCACGCCGGCATTCTCACTAGTAAAAACTCCATTAATCCTCACGGTTTTAACTTCAATGCTTTTACTACGCTCCCCTACCGCTAGTTGGCAACAGAAAAATATTAACTTCATTTCTTTTTTTTGTCAGTACACAATTCATAACAATTCAAGCAACACCACATAATCATTTTTTCCTTTCGATAAATTTCATAGTATTTGTTATCCTTTCTTGAATTCTTTGTTGACAATCATAACATTTATTTAAATCAAATTTCATGTCATTCATAAATATATTTTAGATTAATAATTCTTTTATTACCAACTAGCCTATGGCTTCGGTATAGTATTTGAGCCCCCATACATTCTCGGCGCTGCTACGCTTGACTAGTGAGCTATTACGCACTCTTTAAAGGATGCATGCTGTTAATGCAACCTCCTAGCTGTCTAAGCGGCGCAACTTCCTTCTACACTTAATACTATTTAGGGACCTTAGCCGATAATCTGGGCTGTTTCCCTCACGTCCATGGAGCTTATCCCCCACAGACTGACTACCAGATAATACAATAATGGTATTCGGAGTTTAATTAGAGTCGGTACCCAGTTAAGAGCCCTTCCCTATTCAGTGCTCTACCCCCACTATTTTTACTCTGGCGCTAGTCCTACAACTATATCGGGGAGAACCAGCTATCTCTAGGTTCGATTACAATTTCAGCTCTAACCACAAGTCATCCGAGATCATTTCAACGAGCACCGGTTCGGCCCTCCGTTTGGTTTTATCCTCACTTCAGCCTGCTCATGGTTAGCTCACCTAGTTTCGGGTCTATAACCATTGACTATACGCTCTATTAAAACTCGCTTTCGCTACGGCTCCGTTTCAGAGAAACTTAACCTTGCCAATAATTATAACTCGCCGGCTCATTCTGCAAAAAGCACGCCATTAGGCTTTATGCCCTTTGACTTTTTGTAAGTGTTATGGTTTCAAGTTCTATTTCACTCCTCTTCCGAGGTTCTTTTCAACTTTCCCTCACGGTACTAGTTCACTATCGGTGACTAATGAGTATTTAGCCTTACGGGGTGGCCCCCGTTGCTTCCCACAAGATTTCACGTGTCTCGCGGTACTCAGGATTAAATGCAGAGAGTTATTAATTTCAAATACAAGGCTTTCACTTTCTATGGCATGGTTTTCCAACCACTTCTTCTATTAATAACCTTTGTAACTCTGAATGCATTTTCCTACAACCCCAATCTACAAACATGGATTGGTTTGGGCTGTTCCCGGTTCGCTCGCCACTACTACGGGAATCACTATTTGTTTTCTTTTCCTCCGGGTACTAAGATGTTTCAATTCTCCGGGTTCACTTCTAAGTATCATGAAACTTAGACCTTACCACATTACTGGTAATGGGTTGCCCCATTCGGAAATTTCCGGATCGTAGCCTATTTTCCGGCTCCCCGAAACTTATCGCAGGATATCACGTCCTTCATCGTCTATTAGTCCCAAGTTATCCACCATACACTCTTAGTAACTTATATTTCGGTAAAATCTTTTTTTTTGCGTTCAGTTTTCAAAGAAAGAGAGAGTAAAAAATATACCTCTCAAAATTAAGTAGC